TGTACATGTCAGGCACTACGGTGGCCCTGGGAGTTGGTCAGGCTGTATTCAGGCAGAGAGCAGCGGATATCTGGCTCAGAGCAGCTCGATGCTGCAGAGAACAACAGACTTAACAAGGAGGGTGAGGCAGGAGCTCAATCCAGAAGACAGGACACTGGTGAGGTGAATCAAGCTGCCCCTGAAGCTTGAATATTAATGTAAGAGTTTAGACACAATCAATGTTTTGTTTTAAAGGTTAACTTTTTTTGCATCAACACAAATGATAAGCCAATATTTAGCATGGGGTATCTTTGTTAAAAACAAGAACACAGTAAAAAACAATGACTACAATTACAAACCATGACAATATGCAAGCAGAACTTTTTGTCAACTTATTTTTGCAACAAAATAGTGCTTCTATAGTGTTTTAACACTTTATTTTAATTGTTAGGTTTACACCATAACATAGGCTACAGTTTGTAACTTGAGATGTATCTACAATTTAGATTTGTATGATATATTATGTTTTTATGTTATAGATGGCAAGGTGCCCCGCAAATTGATGATGAGTAATATTTCTATTGTGTTTTAACCTTTGTATTTGCTTTATTTCATATTATTTTCACATATCCATTCTGAACTTTCTTAGAAATTATAGCTCCGACCAACTACAACAGTCACATGATACTTACAAACTAATGCATCAGTATAAGTAATCGTATATAAGTTATAATAGTAAAACCCTTATAAGGCACATTTTGATAACCATTTCATTTTCATCTTATTGCTAAACAGATAAAAATAAAAATGAAAAAAAAAGGTGAAAAAGAATACCGTATTGTTAGAATACAGTATTTATCAATATTCATAATGATATTTATATATTCAACAAAAATGTTCATATTAATGTGTATATGTTCAACAAAAATATTCATAATGATAATAATAATAAATCACATGTGTCCGAAACCATAGATTATTTTTAAAAGATTCAGAAACAAAATATCCAAGATGTGAACAATATATTTCTATCAATGATTTTGCCCTTTGATGCTGGCAGAGGTCACATGCTCTGAAATGATACCTCCATAATCTGTCGTAAATATTGTTATCTATATTTAACATCTCAATGACCTACGAAATGTAAGAGAGTATCTTTGTAAAACATAAGTTGCTGAATTGTTTTTTGTTCTGTACAACAAAAAACAGGCGGTAGGCCTACAACTGTATGATCCTTTTGTATTTCTTGTGGTGAGGCTTAATGTATATCAATATTAAAATGTAACAATATTTGCTTCCCATGTATTGTCCTCATTCTTTGTGGTTTAAATGACTGCCTTGTTAGGACTGCATGCCTGATAAACCATTGGACTAAAAACTGTAACTTTTTGTAATAGTGTTTTGTAAGTTTTCTATACAATTGTACCAAAGCCATATGGACTACAATTAAGGTTACTGGCCCTTTAATCTAACATCATTCCTGATATTTTCTAAATTACATTTTTTTAAACCATGGCAAAGGCTCACATTTTGTGGAGTCAAAAATGTAAATATACAAGAAAGTAATTTCTTTCTATACAGGAGCCTTACAGCAGTTACAATATTCTGGAAATGCTTTGTATAAACACAAACTACATTATACATAATTGGGAGAAAAATATTTGACAATTGAGATATTAAGAAAAAATAACATTAACTGGAACGTACATAGTTGAAAGATGTTATATTATAATGATACAATAATTGTCTTGTAATTATGATATAATTCAGATATAATCTCTATTTATAAGATCATTTTCTTTTATTTTGAAATTAAAGTGTTTGAGAGATTTTACCTTGAAACATTACAAGATAAAGAGGTAATAAGATTATATTTATGTGTGTTGAATACAGTTGAATTCACACAAAGCCTTAATATCAAACCTTAAAGAAAAATACAACATTCTGAGGTCAAATTGGCTCTTTGGGTACAATTAAACATTAAATATCCTAATGCAATGAAAGTATGGTAAGGAAAACACATGCCGAGTCTGATCTTCTGAAGGGGCCCTGAAGGCATCATGAGTGCGGTCCAGCCCCTCCTCCTCCTCGCTCCTCGACCTCGGCAGTTGATGAGTGAAGCAGGGAGGTGTCAGTTAGAAGTACAGCGGATCTACCGATAAACGGGATAACATAATGTCATCGTTTCACCGGGAGTTTGATAGCCAGATAACCCGGTCAGATATTATTTTCTGGAACGATCGACAAAGGAAACAACTGAAGATTTAAGCTTTCAGCTGTATATTTTACGGGAGTAAACCATGTTCAATCAGGTGAGCGGTTATGCGTTATAAAAATACTTTATTAACGTCCAGGCTCGGTAACTCAGTGTCATTTTTGTTAGTCATGTTAGTATAAACGTATGTACGTTGAACCTGTGATGGACGAGAATATCCAGAAGTGTAACTTAACGAATACAGCTCTTGTTAAGTTACCTGGCTCCGTAAATTAACATGTGTTATTGTTGTGGTAACTTTCACACTACCTCATCATAGCTGTTTAACGCTTTAACGTGACTGTAATTAAACCGTTTAAACAGCAGCGGTCCTATTTCTTTATTATTCCGTTATTATTCCGTTAGTTAAGAAGGCGTTGTAAACTGAGTGAACCAGAGTTGAAACAAATAAGCTGTGAGCAAAATGAGGGATTTATTTTCCGTGTCAAAACCAAAATATGTGTCCGAAAAAGGGTACTGAGGGCACTTTTAGCCTTTCAAAACGAGGCTCACAGATACCCTGTGCCCAGTGGTGTAATTTACTCAAGTACTGTAGGCCTACTAACATACGATTCTATGGGTCCTTGTACTTTGTTAGAATATTTTATTTCATGCAAGTTTATTCTTCTACTCCACTACAAGTTGGGAACCAATATTGTTCTTTTTACTCCACTACAATTATTTGACACAATTAATTACTAAGTATTTACTTTACAGATTCAGATTAATATCTATTACAAAACATAAACTAATACATAAACTATAATACACAATTATGATTAGGATATGCAGCAGTAGCATATAACGTATTAAAAGTAGGTCCAATTTTTCCAGCTCTGATGAACACATTATTGCACCAAAACTAATAATCCAGTAATTGATATGATTCTGAAAGGGGACATGACGCACAATAAGAACTTTACTTTTGATACTCTAAGTACCAATGCCAATACTTTTATACTTTTACTTAAGTAAGATTTTGAATGCAGGACTCTTACTCGTAAGAGAGTATTTTTACACTTTAGTATTTCTATTTTTCCCATCTGTAATAAATAGTATTACCATGTCTTGAAAGGTTATACATTCACCAATCTAACCCCAACACATTATATTGTCTCATTATCCATAGACAAACAGTATTTTGTATCATATTTGGTTTTATTGATAACTTTTTTCACATCAGTAGGTGTCCATTACCTTCTAACATGTTTTTTTACTGTCAGGTAATTTGAGGGGAAATCTGCTGCCTTGGCTACCTTGACCATCAGTGGTATGGCCCCGGCTCTTACCAAAACCCTGAAAGATGGCCATGGGATCCACCTGTCCTCCCCTCCTGCCTCGGTCAGAATGGACTCAGATGGAAGAGTCATTTGTAGTTCTGAGCTGGAATCTCAGATGGGCTTAACAGATGATGGTGACCTCCAGAAGATGTGGCTGAACCTTTCCCTGTTCCCCTCTCTGGACCTGTGTCTCCCTCTGAGCCCCCTGGAGTTCCCTGCCAACCCGGTGCTCTCCCCCTGTCTGCAGGCGTCTGCCAGGCAGTGTGAGACCGAGTTTCTCCCCAGCCCGGCCTCCCTCCTCAGCCTCCTCTCCTTCCCTAAAGGCCTGAGAGATTCTCATCAGGTGGCCTGCGTATTCCCAGGTGTACCCGACATGTTTTTAGTCCCTGTCCCTGAGCACAATGGCCAAGAGGCTTGTCTGCTGCATGGTGCTGCTCCTGAATATGGGCCAGGTGGTGGTGATGTGCAGCATTCCCCTTTTATGCGGAGTGTTCCTCCTTCTTATTGCCATGGAGAGAGTGGCTCCCAGGGCTACACTCCATACTTTGCACTCCAACCTACACTGTCACAGGGGAGAGTGACTCCAATGGGCTGTCCTAGTGCATCTTCAGTGCAGCCTTGTAATTGCAGGGTGAACTCCGACCAGCTGGCACCGAGAGCTGTGAAGGAGCAGCTCTGCAGGCAGGTAGGGCTGCAAAGTCGAGCTCAGAGGCTGCAGAGGAGACTGCAAGCGCTGCTAGGAGAGCATGCTTTGCAACACTGTGACCAGCAACTAGAGGGGCTGAAAAAGCATTGTCAAATCAGCGACGTGTCTCTGGACAGCTCAGACTCCTTAAGTTCCTTTATACTACCTCCACAAGTGGGAAGTGATCCCTACTGTTCTTGGCTGGATTCGCCCACAGCCTCGTTTTCCTTCTCAGAGCTCAGAGAGTTCAGCTGCTCCAGCCAGGCGCTGCTGAGAGGCCTGCAGGAGGCGTTGGACTCTGAGGCCACCGCCAGCAGCAGCTCAGATGAGGAGGGAGAGGAAGTTAGGATCCACACTAAAAAGAAAACGTCACCTGTGTGAGTATCCGGAAGGTGGAAGTTTATAAGTAACCTAACCCTAACATTAATAGACGAAACTACATTTCTGGATCCCTTTTCAGAGCTACTTATCATTTGTATTTTCATTTTTTACTTAAAATATCATGTGAAGCCATTAAATGATTTGTTAAAGGTCCCCTATTATACTGTTTTTCATAATATATTATAGTTCTCAGATATATACAAAACATGTCTCTGAAGTGTTTGGTTCCAAACACCAAACGGATCATGCATTGTAGCATCCCATAATCCCCTCTGTTTCAGCCCTGTTTCAAAAGTGCTGATTCTCTGTCTGTTACTTTAGATGAAAATAAGGAGCCACTCCCCACGCTCCTCTGAGAGATATTTGGTTAGAAAGAACACAATGGTGCTCTAGTAGATTCAGGTGATAAGGTGGGGGGGG